GTGTGTGTGTGTGTGTGTGTGTGTGTGTGTGTGTGTGTGTGTGTGTGTGTGTGTGTGTGTGTGTTAATCATGTCTTTCCGCTATAGTAAACCTCTGTGCATTTATGTGGTCACGAGAAGGTGCATGTGCGGATGCGCATGAGGCAAACGGCGGACAGGCCACATATTGTCCCTGCTGCTGTTGCCATGGCGACTGTGTTGGTTTGCACGAGCAGCAAGGTGTGGAAGAAGCTTCCAGATAACCCCCGAGGTCAGCGCACAGAGGTACACCCCGCAGCACCGCCGATAGGCGCGCACTTAACCCTTCCGCCCTGCGTGTATGAGTGTGCGTGCGCGTTTATGCGTGACTTTGTTTATGACTTTTAAAGATGCATTTCCATTTACGGCGATGGAGGAGAATGATCGTATTTACTTGGCATACAGCCGACGGTCGGCGACGGCAAAGTGGAGACAGTGTAAGATGACATTTGTATGCCAACACTTGTAGGTCTAACGTATGCTGATATTTGTCATTGTTCCACCCATGAGGTATCGACTGCACGTTTGGATCCAAGCTAACCAGGGAGGATCCAATCACCTTATGTACCCCTAAAAGCCATGATTCATTCTTTTGAACGATTCGCCGTAATTAGTCATGACCTATTTAACCAACCAAAACTAGCTAGCTAGTGATCTTGAAATGATGACCGCTTGCCGTCAGATTTCTGCGATGATTTTTGTCAAAATCACATCGCTGTGAGTTGTCCAGAGCGGTGGCAACTGCTACAGATCGTCCAGTCAGAACAAAATGATCACGTGGCTCATGTCCACCAAACAGGTTTTAGTGAGGGTTGCGGCATGACATTTCTTTGTTGTTCCCGTACTCATTTTGTTTCTAGACTGGTTTCTTTCCATTTTGTTGCAGCTCCGGATTAACTGGATTAGCACTCAGGAGAGCACCAACCTCTGCCAAGGTAGAATAATTGAGAAAATCATGACATGCAAGGCCATAAGGTTCCACTCCAGCCCTGTTGGTACAGCTCCATCTGCTGGATCTGCGTGACCCACTTGGCCCCAATGCACGTGGACTGTACTCATAATAGCCAAAGGTGATTGACATGATTGTACCCTCACGCAAAGCTACTTCCAAATCTCATTTGTTGCATGTCACAATTTTGCACAAGTTTCATGAAAATTGGTCAAGTAGTTTGCAGTAATGACCTAAGTCAACTGTTCTCAGTTTACAATTTTCAGTTCTCAAATGTTGGACTTTTTCCACAAGGCAAAAGCAGACGCTTCACCTAATTGGTTTTACTAAGCATCCCAACCAAGTGCTCTGTTGTCGACAGCCGCAAATAGACGGATATATTTTCATTTCATCTGAGGATAGCTACGTTATAATTTGATTACTGAAGCAAGCTGTCCACTTCCTAATTAATTTCTTGAACCTTTTACCTCTGCAAAAGCGAGTCCAAGATCTCACATGCATCTTCTAACTGACCGTAATATTATGACTTCTTGTTCAGTCCGATTACAGGAGCTTAATACTGACAATTATGCCTTCACAAAGATTAGCATGCTCATTTTGAGTGACACTGATTGAACAATGTTAATTATTTTGGGTGTAGAACTGCACTGCATCTGATTGGCTGTTTCTTATGGACCTAATATCGCACTAGATTATTCGAAATCCAGTCTCACATGTCACGTTCATTGTAAGTTGCAATGGTTGTTGAACTGTTAATGAAGGTGGCAAGGAGTATTTTGACCCTATGATCAGTCGATCAGCTGCATTGATGGCAGTTTGGTCTTGTCAATGCATCAAATGTGACATAAAAAAGCCCAAATGATGTCATGATGATGATGATGATGATGGATTCAGGCGTATGTCCATCTTGTCACTCCGTTGTTGCGTGCGTGGGTGTGTGTTTGAGACTCAAGTCAATACCGGTACCTCCTTCTCCATGCGCCGCTTCCTCACCAAGGATTAGTCTGCTCTGACCCATCAGCCATGATGCACATATTGCCTATATTGAACCGCGCGCCGTGTTTGAGTTTTCCGCCGGTGACTCTCATATCTCTTCTCTCTCCTTGACATTTCTTTACAAATACCAGCCTCGATTCACTCTGTTATTGCTTTCTCCTATTCAGTCATCCTCCGACGACACAAGCTCCGAAAAGCTCCAGCCCCCGCCGTGTGTCATTTGGTTTTTATTAGAAACACGTGGACTTTAATTAAAATGACCGATTTTGAGAAATGCGATGGATATTTCGGCGATATATATCAGATAGGGGAGCACAATGGGTGAAAAGAAAATCGAGGACTGGCCCTTATTGAATATGGTAGGGGGTGTGAAATTAGATAAACACCGGCCTCATGCAGGTCTGGTGTTTGCTTTCTCGGGGAAGCTGAGCTTTATTCCATTCAGTCAATTAGGATCTCTTCGTGCACATCACATGCCTGTCTTTTTAGTCCCCTCCGCTCTCTCTGAGGACTTAAGATTTTGTTGTCCCTGCCAGCTTCTTTCTCAACCGTGCACCTTCGCTTCGGTGCCGTGAAAGACCTGGGACTGTGGTTGCCGTGGTAACCGGCGCCGCTTTGATTGGAGGAATCGGCTGCATAGTGGAGCTTGCGAGGCACGCTTCTCGATGCGGCTGTATTGATTTCCAGTCTCGGACCGTTTGTGGGGCCCACTTGACAGCAATAGGTCACATAATTGTTGGGAGGAGGGAGGGAGATTTGGCATACTGTAATTAGCACGTCTTTTTTACACTTAAGTGCAGCCATGTGACAGGTGATTGTTTGAGTTGATGCGTGAGTTTGAACCTTTTTGTCATGTCGTTTAACGTTCTCTATGCTTCAACAGCTCGCCTCCGCACTCCTTAGTGCCTGCTCCCCCAATCAGCTGAGGAGGTGTCAGCCAGCGAGAGGTGGTGTCAGACTTTGACAAACCGCTGCCCTTTAGAAAGCCTTAATGGGGATCAATTCACGTGAAGTAAGACACATGCAGTCACATAAAAGTTCCGAGACGTTTCCACACATCAACCTGCTCCTTGACTTCATCCGCTCCTCCATTTCTCTCTCGCTCACCCCCCCCCCTTCCCCCACTTTCCCTTTCACCTCCTCCAGCCAACTTGGCTTTTTGGATGTGAGATTTTGCCAGCGATCCTAATTGGACTGTGTGACTTCTTTAATGACTGTCACCATTCGCTTGCACACACTTCCAGGGAGCGCTCTTGCTAATTGAATTGGCTCTTATTAAACACGCTAAGGCGCTGCGGTGACCGAGTGTTGAGCACGTCTGTTTTGCACCGCTGACTTTGCTTGCATGTTCTTCCTATGCTGATGTGGGTATTTGTTCGGGTACTCCAGCTTCCTCCCACATTCCTAAAGCATGCTTCTGAGTTTAATGGAACCCTTTTTGTACTCCGGCGTCGGGCTGCAACGAACGATTATTTTAATCACGATTGATGTGCTGATTATCTTGTAGATTAATCGATGAATCAGATGGAAAAAAAAATCTGTGCTTTAATTGCCATCCATTCATGCAAAAATAGGAAAATAATTTTAATTGACAGTACCAGAAAATGAGCAAAGAAATGAATTATGATTCCATTGCCGGTTTGGTCCGTAACATAATACGATAGATCTGCTCTCATACAGAACTGCAGAAATTGGAGAATATTTAATATTGAGAAGCTGAAGTTTTGAGAATGAAGAAACCGAATTGGTTACATGATTATCAAAAAAATGATCGATTCATTTGGTAATTGATTTGTTGCTGATTAATTGTTGCACCACCCTGTTTTTAGAACTTACTTGTGTCCGTCAAGGATGCGTCACCTGATTTGATGGCGCTACTGTAGCTCTGTATGGCTTGTGTGCAATCGGATTCTATTTAAGTCAACGTACGGAAAGTGTCTCTTCACGCCCGTACTGTAATGCAATGTCGATGTAAGCCACACCTCAGGCAGTGCCGTTACCATTCATGTTGCCCATTGCAAAACTGTCAAAATGCAGGGGGAAAAAAACTGTTGCGTAACCGCTCTTATCAGTCAAGAGCAAATCCAGCTTGTGTTGGATTAGAGGCAACAGGAGTCTCTCAAAATAGAAATAATCTTAATGTTATAATAAACCTGTAAAACGACTCTAAAATGCAACATTTGAAGTGTTCTTAACGCCTTGAAAATGCCATTGGAATGAAATGAATGTCCTTGTGCCGAATATGACTTGTGAAAGTGACGTACGAAGAAAAACAACCAACGTACAGATCTGCAGTAACAGACATACGTAATAATAATAATAACAATCAAAGTGTTCGGTTCAATTTTGTGCTCACTTTTCTGCACTCGCTCGGAAATTCGTCCGATCCCTCTTGCCACATTCCGAAAACTGTTTTGTGCATTGAAGGCTGATTAGGTCTTAATACGAGTGCTTGTCTGAATCTGTGTCAGTCAGATTGACTGGTGATTAGTCCGGCGTGTACTCCCAAGTCACACTTGAAGTCAGCTGTGACAGCCTCCGGCGAGGCCCTTCGTTTCATTAAAATAGTAAAGAATAGCATCTCTCATT